CAGGTGACTACTGACCCTTTAGTCTGGGTCCTTGAATGTGAGACATGTAGAACTGACTTGAATTTGACTTGTACCTAGAGCACAGACACAGCATCCAACTACCTCTCCTTCCAGCTGTCAATTTCCAGCTCAGTGAGAAATAAATATTCGTTGTTTATAAGCCAGAATCTTGGAGGACAATTCCTTTATTTTCTCACAAGACAGGAATTTATTTAAAATTATATTTTCTGGGGGTAATTTATTCATGATTAGTTTCTACTGCCATAACATTCACATATACATTTTTGTATTTTTGTATAGACATGCTTTAAATTCTTTTGGGTATACACCTAGAAGTGGGTTTTCCCACACCACCAAGGAGCAGTTCTCCAGACACCAGATGGGTGTCCTAAGTTCAACTCAGTTCTGACACTGTCTATGTGGAAATAGCATCAGATCCCACACAGGTTAAGGGCTCAGTTCATAACACTGCACCCCGTGTCTTCAGATGCCAGTTTCAAGTGCAGATTGTTAGTGGTGCTTCTGACCAACTGGCTACTAACTGGAGGCTCCAATGATTCCCTCCCAACTCTCGATGCCAATCCTAAGCTCAGATTGTTACCTGTACTTCTGAACAAATGGCTGTAAATCAGAGGTTTTCGTGATCCCCTCCTCAGGCCCAGTGAATTTGCTAGAGCGATTTACAGAACACAGAAAAAGTTCACTTACTAGTTTACTGGTTTATTTTAAAAGGATAGAACTCAGGAAAGCCAGATGGAAGGGAGCATAGAGCAAAGAATGGGAAAAGGGTGCAGAGCTTCCATGACCTCTGCAGTCTTACTATTTTCCCTACACCCTTGCGTATTCACCAACTTGAAAGTTCTTGGAACCCTATCCTTTTGGGAAAGGGCATGGAATTTTGAAGGAACACAATTCAGTCCAAAACATTGTCCTTGAAGTACAAAAGATTAAGAAAGTTTTAATTATAAAATATACATAAAATTTACCACTTACATAATTTTAAGTGTACAGTTGTATGGCATTAAGTATATCCACATTGATCTGAAATCGTCACCATCATCTTCTCCAGAACTTTTTCATCTTCCCAAATTCATAGAGACAGAAAGTAGAAGGGTAGTTGCCAGGAGCGAAGAGTGCGAGAGTGGAGGAGTGAGAAGGGGAAGATGGACTTAATGTTAGGGTACAGAGTTAATATTCATATAATTTATAAGCTACACCTGAACTATAGCAAGATTATAATTTATTAATAGGATGGATCTAAAAGGTGAATACCGGAAAAGAGCATTTTCTAAGCTCTTTCACACTAATTAACTATTCAGTCAAATTCCCTCTTTTTCAGATTTCTCTTCTAGAACTCCTATCCTTCCATTACAATCTAGCCTAGGGCTTGGGACTTTTTGAATTAGATGTAGTGATTCTGAATGCGTGCAGATACTGTATTTTCTACCTCATTTTGTTCAAGCACATCTTCAAGCAAGTTTTTTTTTTTTTTTAACTGAGGATATCTTTATTGACTGGGGGTGGGGGTGGGTGGAGAGACAGAGACAGAGAGATGTGAGAAATAGTGATTGGTTGCCTCTTGTACACGCCCTGATTGGGGATCGAACCCACAAGCTACGTATACCCTCTGATAGGGATTGAACCCTCAAGTTTTTGGTGCGTGGGACAATGGCTCCAACCAACTGATAACTTCATTTGCTTCTGCATTTCTGAAAATATTTTCATTCTGCTATTTTACATAATAATACTTCAGCAGAAACTGAGTTTTTAAATTAATTTTTTCCTAAGAATTTTGAAGTTCAAGAAATTTTTCCCTCAGAAACTTGAAGGTCTTTGTCTATTATCTTCTCATACTTAGTGTTGCTGGTAAGAATTCTAATGCCCACTCAGTCACTTTTTTTCCTTTTTGGAAATTTAGGATCTTCTCTTTAATTATATTTTGCACTTTTTTTTTCTTCTGTTTGTGCTTTGTACTAGTGGATACTTTCAGCTCTGGGAAATTTCTTCCATTGTTTTTGGGACAATTTTCCATCCTTTATTTACTTTGTTTTCTCTTTCTCTTGTAGTATTAGTCCTCTAAGGTTATTTCTATTTTCTCTTTTTCTTTAATTTTACATTTTTGTTATGATGCAATTTTATTACATATCCAAATATTCTTCAGATACATGCTCAAATAAAATTAAATAGATCTTGAAAATTTTAGTTTTGCCTATAGTTACCTAAATTTATACACATAGAAATTATGACTTAAGCTTTTTTATTCTCATCTAGAAGAACACTGAGCTCCAGTGAGGAAAGGAACTTTATTAGAAATACAATATTCTGGCACAGGGTAACAGATACTACACTCTGTGCAACTCACCCTCAATTGTTAAAGAGTGATGCAATTTAGTGTTATTTTTCTTGATGCAGAATGAGGGCTCTGATAATGAAGGTTTTAATATATTTCTTAGTAAATGTCTGTATTGGGTAAGTTAGGCTTTGATATCTGAGTGGGCATGTTTTCTACTAATTGACAGAAGTACTTTATAAAGAGTTTTGTTGCGAATTCTTTAATTTTCTCTTGCAATTTGTATATTTGTTTTCTTTAAAATACAGAAATTTAATGTACTGTATACATTTCTCTGTTTCCTCTGTGCCTGTATTTTCTGTTTATCTTCCCCCTTTCCCTCAAGTTGGAGACTTCCCTTAAATATCTAATAATCCTTGGTTGGTTGTTCATATTTAAGATGAAGTAGGTAGAATGCTGATTAGAAATGTTTTGAACTTAAGAGGGTCCTGCCATCTTTCACAAGTTCACTGTAGATTGCATGGGTAGGAAATGGGCTATTGTGTCTGCCAGAATGAAGAATGCTTTACTTAGTCATAAATGCTCAAATAGCTGCCCAGGTTCCTCCCCGGAGATTATGAGAACTCTTTGATTTCTAGCTTGGGATAAATGCCTAGTTATTGTGCTGTTCCACATACAGACCTTTATTTAGTTTTCCTGTGCTTCAGCCCTGCTTCTCACTCTTGCTGTCTTGTGTCTCCAAAATTCAGTCTCTAAATCACTTCTGGCAGATGGACCCCTTTCTCGGCTGCAGCACTCTGTGCACCTATTACACGTTATGGTTCCTTCAATTTGTTTAGTCAGACTGCACTTAGTTTTGGTGTGTGAAGTTTAAAAAAATAGGGCCCCCTTCCCATTTTTTATTTTGTATGGTTTTGTATGATTTTTTTATTGCTTTATAAGTATTTTAATGGGGTCTCAGGAAGAAGAGGCAATGAATTTGTGTGTCAGTTAGTCAGCTTTAATAAACAAATCCTAAATGTAGGTTTAAAAAAAATATTGGGGGCAGAGTAGGAAATAAGAAAAAACCAATGGAATGACAAAAACAAAACAAAACAAAACATAAAAGACAAAATTCTAAGTCTGTAATATTGACAGTGTTCCTGTGTTTGCATAACTTAGTGTTTAGCATCTGAATTCTCCAGATCCACACATGTTAGGGATATGGTGGATCTCAAGACATCTTGTTCACACACCATTTTACACTTAAGAAAAGTAGGACTCAAAAGTAAAATGATTTTCTACAAGTAGAAAGTGGCAAAATGGAAACTAGAAAGATATGACTCAGTTCTCTTGAAAAACAGCCAAACGATGGCTGTTACTGGGTAAATAGATTTCCAACAAAATCAGTTATTTTAGGATTCTTACTTGGTAGCCTAACCATTGGTAGCCATATGCTGAGTGTACTGAAGGGGGCGACTATACAGCAAGAAAGGGAACTGCATTAACGATCACTAGAGGGAACAATTAGCGAGCGTCAGCAGGATGAACTAGTAGAATTTGGTGAATGAATGGATGTAAACACTGAGCAGAGACTGGAAAATGTTAGGGCATTATGAGGTGTAAACTGCTTAGTTGTAGTGGTGGAGTGTAAGCAGGGGTAAAATGATTCTACTTTCAGGGGCATTTCACATTCTTTTACTAAATACTAGAAGGTTGGGAATAAATATAATTCACATCACTCTTACGTTCTTGATTTAGAGATAGCTTACCCACATTCTTAAATTAGTGGATGCAGTTACCCTCTTCGCACGGCTCCAGCAAACGAAACCGGAATGCGATGTGATACAGGAACACTGGGTTCCCTAAAATACGGCCCCAGTTGTCCGGTAGACCCGCCTTGCTGTTGTGAGGACCAAGTAAGACAACCTAGCACACAGTACCAGGCACATCGCACGGACTGCACGTGGACGTTAATTTCCGCCCCGGCTCTTTTCTCGCATCAGAACCACTACAGGAAAACGACCTACGCTGGTGTGAGTCTCCTGCGACACCTAAGTTTCTTCCCCAGGGCCGTGTCTCAGATCATATTACTATTTCAGGAGACACATTTCGCAAAAGCTAAGGGTGGGGGAAAATCCAATTTCCCTCGGACACGGGGTGCTCCCTGCGGCTGTGAGAGCGCAGGCGGGAATGCACTGCCAGTCCTTCGAGCTACTGCGGCGCGGGTCTCCGGGTTGTGTAACGGGCCCTGCCAAAGCGGGGGTGGGGCGACCGTAAGGTTTGGGAAGGCCACGATTCCGCTCTTCGTGCCCGGCTGGTCCACTTCCTACGGCAAGCAGGAGGAGACAAACACCGCTTTTCCTAGCTCCCACCTACTGCCTCTTCTCCGAGCGGGATCCAGCTCTGCGCTCCCGTGGCCACAGGGGCCGCCTATGGGGGTGTGTATGTGTGGACGCCCCGCGCCCGTGACTCAGCTTCAGCGCGGAGCCATAGCCAGAGCCTGAGTCACCCTCGCTTCCCAGGCCCTAACCCCCCTTTCTCTGGAAGGGGCCGGAGGCCTGCAGGCTACGGAGACGCCTTCACGGAGGGCACGGGGAAGCGAGGTGCCCCGGCTCGGGGAAGGTGGAGCTCCGAGCATCTGGCCGCCGAAGCCTGGGGGCGGGGCTAGGTGTCTCGCGCAGGGGGCGGGGCGCGGTGACGTCGGCGGGCGCCGGGCCGTGCTGTGGCAGTGGCTGTGGCTGTGGTGGTGGCGGCGGCGGCGGTGGCGGCGCCGGGGCGGCGGCGGCAGCAGAAGCAGCAGCAGCAGCAGCAGCAGCAGCAGCAACGGCAGCAACCCTGAGCAGGGTGAGACGGCCGCGGTGGCGGCAGCTTGGAAGTCGGGCGGGACCTAGAGCTTCCCGCCTGTCTCTGGCCCTGAGGCGTTTTGCCTTTTCTTACTCTGCTTCTTCCTTACGGCCCTGGCTGGGGCTGGGCAGCGCTCCCCCGGGGAGGGGCGGAGCTGTAGGTGAGGCTTCAAGACCCCTTCTGCTACTAATCCGTGCTCGGGGCCGGGGCGGGGGGGGGATGGGGAAGTCCAGGGAGGGGCGACCCCACCCCCAATCGATTTTAACCCACCCCAGCCCACCGGAGGGCTCCACCCAATCGAGCTCCGGGATTGGGCGGGAGCAGAGGCGATAGAAATGGGGAACGCGGGGCGGGAGGTGGTAGGTGGGAAATAGGGGCTCTGGACGCCTGGAGAAACGACGGTGGAAGGTTGATGAGAAGTGATATTGCGGGCAGGGTGGTCGCGAGATGGAGAAATTGGGGATCCGTGTAGACTGGGGTGCAGTCAGGGTGGATATGTGGGTTTGGGTGATTGATACAAAATGTTGAAGATGAAGATTTTTTTTCTGGGAAATGTAAGATAGGAGACGGATGATTGTATTTGAAAAGGAAGATGAGCTGTGGATGTTGCCTATGAGGCAGTTGGAGAAGCTACTGCACTAGGTTTCACATTTCTGCTTTCGGGTTTTGGTTATTTTTCTATTTTTCCTTCTGACGGGGTGGGTGGATGGGTTGGGGAGGGAAGAGAATTCTCTTATGCTTTAGCTCAGTGAGTGAATTGTGAGCGTGGATGGGTTTGAAGTTTTACACCCTTCAAGAAGAGTGAGATCTTGCGTTAAGACAGCTTCATTCAGGTAGCAATATTAGGGAAATAAGTCTCATTACACTTTTTGATCTTTAAAGGTGTTACCTTCCAGTCTTTTCATTGCAGAAAAGACTTCTTTTCACTACGTGTACAAGCTCTATCCTGGCCCCTTAAGAGAAGGCCTGAGAATCAGGTGGTTGCTTTGGAAGACACATTTCTGAGTAATAGCTGCAGGTCGTGTCAAGATCGACTGCTTTGGATGGATAAAAGGAACAATTTGAACAATTCGGTTGAACTAATTATGTGAAAAATGCTTAAATGTTTTAAAGTACAACTGTCCTTAACAGCTTGTTTTTCAGTAGACCTTGACATTTAGACATTATGTGTTCAACACTATTATTACTTATTATTTCCCAGTTGCAGATGTCTTTATTAAACACTTTAAGAATCAAGTGGAATAATTTTTTCCTTTCGGTAGACCCCTCAATTTCTGAGAAATGTTCTTGGAGTCAAGAGCTTTAAAATGCTGTTTAATGACGTATTTGGGGCATGTGTCTGTCATTTCATAAAGAGAGATTACTAAGAGTAAACAGTATTCAGCGTTCTTCACATCATTCTTTCACAATTTAGCACATTAAATCAGAATCTCTTCTGGATTCCTGCTCCACGTGAGATTATAGTATTCAACAGCCTTACCTACCAGTGTAATGTAAGCTATTTCTTGCTCAGAAACAGGTCCTGTGATGGACATGCATTATGTAATGGATGAAGTAGACATGACTCTCAATAATTCATTTATGGAGGAAGAGAAACCGTCATGAAATGGAAATTAGGCAGTGACTTTCCCAAGGCTTACTCAATTTATTTGGGAAGATAGCCAGGGAAGTGCTTTCCTGTAACCCAAGAGAGAGCTATACAGATGTCAGTGTCAGTAGCTGCAGATCATTGCCTCTTTTAACATGCTTCTTTAATGAGCAGACTATTATCTTCTAGCAAATACTTCTGCCTGAAGAGACTTACAAGAAACAGAGGCTACAATAGCTATTAAGAGAGAAAGGATGTGGTCCAATTGTAATTACAAATAAAATATTTAACTGTATTCATATAGATCAAATTGTAAGTTGGTATCATGAGTAATTTTGATTTTGGATTAGTTACTTAGAAGGAAAAATGTGAATTCACATGTTTAGATTTGGGTTTTAAATTATACTTTGATTTAATTGGGTCTACAGGGGACAAATGAGAAGATTCCAGGTGAAAGTATATATTGCTAAAATGACACTTGCATAGCTGACAATAAGATGTGTTTCTTCTCCTTGTGGGAATGAAATCATATGATTTGGGGACAATGTAAAGGTAGAAATTATCTGTTTCTCTAATGCCTGAAAAAACCCCCTGCACTTTTAACAATTAAATTTATTGGCGTGACATTGGTTAATGACATTATATAGGTTTCAGGTATACTGTTCTGTAATATTTCATCTGTATGTTGTATTGTATGTTCAGTGCCTTAAGTCAAGCTTCCTTTCATCATCATTTATTCCCGTTTTACTCTCTTCTATCCCCCGCAGGTCCCCTTTTCTTCTGGAATCACCATACTGTTGTCTGTGTCTATGAAGGTTTTTTTTTTCTCTTTTTCTTTTGCTTAATCCTTTCACCTTTTTCACCCAGACCCTCAACCCCCTTCCTCTCTGACAGCTGTCAGCCTGTTCTCTATCAGCCTTTTTCTATTTTTTTTAGCTTATTTTGTTCATTGGATTACAAATATGAGTGAAATCAAATGGCACTTGTTTTTCTCTGACTGGCTTATTTCACTCAGCATAATTCTCTCCAGGTCTTTGCATGCTGTTGCAAAGGATAAGATTCTCTCCCCTGCACCCGGCCGCCCCCACCCCCCCGCTGCTTTTTATGGCCCAGTAGTATTCCATTGTGTAAATGTATCACAGCTTTTTTATCCACTCATTTACTGATGGGCACTTCGGCTGCTTTCAAATCTCAGCTATCGTAAATAATGCTGCAGTGAACACAGGCACATATATTCTTTTTGATTTAGTAAAACTCCTACAATTTACTTTTCAAGAAATGTCACTTGCTGGTCATTACTGTGATATCCTTGTTGAGTCTGCTTAAGTGTTGTTGGTTTTTTTTTTTTTCATTACTAAAGTTGGATGAGTATGTCAGCCTGTTAATTCAACATTAATACTGGAAACAAAACAACAGTGAAGGTTGTAATAGCAACAACTGCTCTTTTTCTACACTATATTTATGCTTTTAGAAGTAGTATAAGACCTGTTAAATGCTCATTTTACACATACTGTGTCAAAACCATTGAGGGAGAAAGACCAGGGAATGAAGTATTTTGGTTAATCAAATAATAATTAGTACATGAATTACCAATTTTCAGAGAAAGATAATGTAAACAAGTAAACAAAATACAGGCTGTATGCAATGTATTTCTATGGCTCTTCACTATGCCTTCAACATGTCTTGGTACAGTGTTTCATTCATTTATTTGTTTAAAAGTTTTTGAGTATAGTTCTGGGCACTTTTTTTTAGCTTTTGGGGATATGGTAGTGAATAAAGCTGACAAAAATCTCTGCCTTCATTGAACTTACTTTCTAGCTATCTTCTTGGGAAATGAGGAGGAACCCAGTAAAGGAGATTGATAGGAGGCATTGAGTTAGAAAAACTGGAGGAGTGTGATGTACTAGAAGTGAAGGAAAGGAAGTTTTCAAGGAGGGAATTATCAACTGTATCATTGTTTAAGTGTATGTCAGAGTGTTGAATAAGAGAGAATGCTGCTTGATTATAATGTCTAATACCAGAGAAATAACTAAATGCTTGTTAGTGTGAGATGAGACAGATATTCCTGGATTGATTTATATATTCTTTTCGGAACAAAGGAGGCAGCCTGGGAGAACCTACTTTTACTGCACTAAGCAGAGATATGACTTTGTTCGTTATTAATCTTATGTGTATTTTTTTTTAAATTGGTAATACAAGTACCAAATCAGAAGGTATAAATGAATACACAGGGAAAAGTAAGTCCTATCCCATCCATCCTGAAGGTAATTACTATTTCCAGTTTCTTCTTTTTCCTGATCAGTGAAATATTTTGCAATAATATGGCATTTAGCTATTTAAAAATTGCATAAATATAACAAGTATTTTTATCTTTCAGGTGTTATTTGAAGTGTTAATATATTTTCATAATTTAATCTAGATGCAGACTTTTTGTTTCATAACTTTGTTTTATAGCTTTATTGAGAGATAATTCACATGACATGCAATTTACCCATTTAATGAGTATAATTCAATTTTGTTTGTGCAACCATCCTGACAACCAATTTTAGAACATTTATATGACCCCCAAAACAAATCCCAAACTCATGAACAGTCACCCCACTGACCTTTGGTTTTTAAGTATTGGTTTGCTTATTATGTGGGGAAAAATGTGAAATACTTTGTTACCAACTAATCTGCAGTGAAACCATTTAGTTCATACTTTTAACATTCCGTGATAGAATAGAAGCATAGATTTGTGTAAAAGTCAAATTAGATAACGTTTTATTTGAGTAAATACTTGTGAAATGATTTTTAAAATTATTTACTTAAGAGAGAGAGGGTTAGGTTTTTTTTTACACTTACACATTCATTGGTTGATTCCTGTATGTGCCCTGACAGGGATCAAACCTGCAGCCTTGGTGAAGCGGGACGATGCCATAACCACTTGAGCTGCCTGGCCATGATCCTGGTGAAGTGATTTGGTTATCTTAGTGTCCTGTTCTATTATTCCTTCAATTAGCAAATGTTTATTGAGTACCATTTGTATTCCAAGTCCTGAGCTAGACCAGAGGGATTTCATGATAAATAAGGGATAGGTTCCCCTATTCTTGAGGAGTTTCATATTAGTATGAGAAGAGGAAAAATTAGCAGGACTTTGTGGTGTTCAATTGGTGACATACAGAGTTTTCTACATCAGCTCACAGAATGGATCCCTCGACTGGATTGTGGGAAGATCTAAGATGGGATCTTAAGGATGAGTAGGATTTGGTCAAATGAGAAGGATGCAAGCAGAGGGAATTTAGCATTCGAGGAACCCTAAGGCAAGAAAGCTATAGGGCAGATTAGGGGATCTGAAAGTAATTTGAAATGTCAGGTGCCGGCGTGAGGTGTTGGTATCACGTCTTTTTGTTAAAAGCGTGTTGTCTAAAAA